GGGGGAGCCTCACACACAGGGAGGGCTGGGGGCCTGGTGGAACTGGCCCGAGGTCCTCAGCCCACAGCACAGCCTCAGCAGGACACAAGGGCCACGGTGCCCAGGAACTGGAAGCTCAAACTTTTAAGACCTTCCCCATCAGCAAATATTGGCAAGCTCCTCCGTGTGAGCCCTGGCCTCGAGATGGAGAGAATGGGGGTTCAGAAAGACAGACACCAGGACTGACTTCTGTAAGTGTCGTGGGAGCTCAGGGGAGGCAGGTGAGTCCAGGGGTAAGGTTGGTATCTTGAGTGCTTGAGGTCCCCTGTCTGTTTCCCCCTGGCCTCCTTGTCCCATCCTAAACTGATGGGTGCACTGTTAAGTCTCTTTCTGTAATTCTCATCCCCCCCACTCCTCCTCTTCTTCCTCTATGTAAGAACCAGCACCTGGACTGGGGCCTTGCACAGCAGGGGCTCACCTGGTCCCGCTCCTTCTCGATCTCCTCCAGCTGGGCCAGCACGGTGGCCATGCGGTGCTTGTACAGGTCACAGTCCTTCTGCAGCGTCCGGTGCTTCAGCCGCAGGTCTTCCATCTCCTGCAGGTACTGAGGGCAGGACGGGACAGGGTCAGACCACAGGGCCGGGGACCGGGGGAAGCTCCCAGCAGGTGCCCAGCAGCTCCAGTGAGAGAGGCCTGAGCCCCAATAACAAGTGCCCCCTTCTCAGTAGGGTGGTCTGGGCCAGTGACTTCACCTCATTGGGTCTCAGCTGTCTAATCTGTAAAATGGGGATAACGACAATGCCACCTGCCCGGCCACCTTTGGCCTGCCCACTGAATCAGCAACCTGCCCCTTCCGCGGCTCTGTCTTCCACAGCACTCGTGGCCTGTGCTACGTGAAGTGACTGACTGAGGACCACGGGTCTGGCACACTGTTTGTCCCCCCTGCTGGATTCACCTCCAGGAGCAGGCATTTCTCTTTTGTTCACTGCTGTATCTCAAGCGCCTGGAAGGTGCCTCCGTCAATGTTTGTGAAGGAACAAATGCAGAGTCCTTAGCACAGGGCCCGCACAGCAGGTGCCCCGGGACGGCTGGCTGGAGAAACTGGCCGTGCCTGACCCCCTCCCGCCCAGGTGCAGGGCGCTGGCAGGGGAGGCAGGTGGGGCCCACCTTGTCCCGCAGCTCCTCGGCCCACTGCAGCTCCCCCTGCACGGTGTGCAGCTTCTGGCACAGCTCCTGCCTGCTGTCCTGCGCCTCCCGCCAGTCGTGCTCCAGGATGTCCAGCAGGATGCGCTCTGAGCCCGGGGCCCCCGGCCGGCTCGCCTCCTGGGGAGCAGAGTTGGGGCCACCTCAGCCTCCGGCCCAGGGCCCACCCTGGGTGTGGGGAGGAAGGGGACATGCAGCCCTCAGCCCTCAGAACCCCCGTGACTAGCCCTGCGATCTGGGCCTGGAGCCTGGACCTCTCGGGATCTGGGAGAGCGGGCGTGGCCCCACCAGCCCTGCCCACCCTCCGGGGAACATCTGGAGCACAAGTGAGGTAAGCGGGAGGGCAGGCGGGCGGGCGCCGGCAAGCCAGCCAGGACCTCGTTCCCAAACAAGCGCCACGCCGGCCTGCTCTTGCTCTGGCCGCCACCCACCACCCTGGGCAGCAGCTCGGAAACAGGGGTGCTGTTTCCTAGCCTGTTCCCACTCCTCTGATGAGGGGTCTTCACGGGGCTGGGCCTGGCCCAGGCAGGTGGACCCTGGGCCCAACATCCAGCCCCCAGACCCACACCCCTGCCAAGCACCACAACCCCATGAAAGGCTCTGGCTCCCATCCCCCACTTCCCGTGTGGAACAATGGCCAGGAGGCTGCCACTGACCGGCCTGGGACACCGAGCATGCAAGGGGCTCAACCCTTTCAAGGCCACGGACTCCTCCAAAAATCTCAGGAAAGTTGGGGGCCCTTTCCCCAGAAAAATGCCTCCACACAAAATCGGGCACAAAGTTTTAGGGAATTCAGAGACCTCCTGGAGGCCACTCGGACGCCGGACCAAAGGCCCAGGAAGAGCCACGTGCTCAGGGCTCTCGGCTCAGAGCTTCAGACAGGCTGGCCGGGGTTCCAGCCAGATCCAAGCCCCCCTGGCTCTGAAATCCTCAGCTTTCCAGGCTCTGGGAGGACGAGTAAGCAGCAGGAGGGTCTGCGTCCCGTCTGACCCCCGTCTGACCCCCCATGCCCACCAGCCCAGCCTGGTACCTGCTGCAGGCCCTCCTGCAGCTCCTGCAGCGACGCCATCAGCCGCTGGTTCTCGGCGCGCAGCTCTGAGACCAGGTCCACGCCGTCCGGCTCCTTCTCCTTCTCCTTCTCCTCAGCCACGGGAAGCGGCCCCCTGGCCCTGCGCAGCAGTGCGCACTCTTCCTCCAGCCGGCTCACCTTGAGCTTGAGCTGATCCACCTGGGGCCCAGAACGAGGGTCAGCCCAGGGAGGGACACGCCAGGGGCCACCACAAGGTCACAGGGCAGGGTGGGGGGGCTGTTCCCTCACCCCTGGGGGCCTCCCAGATTCCCAGAAGGGCCTGAGCAGCAGTCCTGTCTGTGCAGACCGGATGGGCTGGGTAGAGATGGGACAAATAGGGGTGAAGAGGGAGGGGGCGGCAAGGCCAAGGCCACCCTCCCAGGGGAATGCGCCTCCAGGACCTGGGATGGATGAGCTGCAGCACAACACACTGTCCCAGCATCCCGACACTGCGTACAGTCAATGCGGCCCAGCGCCCTCCTGACCGAGGGGGAGGCAGCGGAGGGGGAGGAGGGGGAGAGCAGGAGGGGAGGAGGGCTGCATTAAGAGCTGGAGAACCAGAGTTGGGCCCCAGCTCTGCCTCCAGGTCGGTGCAGCCCTGGGCAGTCACAGCCCCTCTCTGTGCCTCAGTCGCCTCATCTGAACCCGGGTGGCGGAGGGTGGGTTTGAGAGCTGAGGGTCTTCTCCAGCCCAGGAGCTAGGATGTCCCCCTCCAACCCAATGTCCCAGCTCGACACACACTCATGGGACAGATTTGGGTCCGGTGCTCCCTTAAAGAAATTCCTGGCCGGGTGCGGTGGCTCACGCCTATAATCCTAGCTCTCTGGGAGGCCGAGGCGGGCAGATTGTTTGAGCTCAGGAGTTCGAGACTAGCCTGAGCAAGAGCGAGACCCCGTCTCTACTAAAATTAGAAAGAAATTAATCGGCCAACTAAAAATACATAGAAAAAATTAGCCGGGCATGGTGGCGCATGCCTGTAGTCCCAGCTACTCGGGAGGCTGAGGCAGGAGGATCGCTTGAGCCCAGGAGTTTGAGGTTGCTGTGAGCTAGGATGACGCCACGGCACTCTAGCCTGGGCAACACAGTGAGACTCTGTCTCAAAAAAAAAAAAAAAAAATGAAATTCCTAACAGAGCCTCTACTCCAAAAGATTAGACTGTTGGTTCATCCCCAACATGAATGAGCTCCAGGTTCAGGGTTCAGGTTCCAGTTTTACTGCTTTTAGGCTCTGTCATCCTGAGCAAGTGGCTTACCGCCTCTGAGACTCAGGCTCCTCATCAGAAGAATGGGCCCAGTCGCTCCCCCCGACCCCCCACTTGTAAGACTCAAACAAGACAGCGAGTAAACAGAGGGTTTGAAACTGTAAAGGGCAGGATTTGGAGCTGCCACAGGCATGACCACGGCAGAGTCACAGCTTTAAATAAAATCCCAGAACCCTAACAGGTCACGAGTTCGGTGTGTGCAGCCAGAGGCTGGCCGGTGTGCTGGGTGGCCAGCCATGCGGTGGCTGCCAGGCTGAGAGCCACATACACGGCCTGCTTGCTGGGTTGTGACTCCATTCAGCCACGGTTATTTTCCAAATGTATGTCTGAGATGGCCAGACGGTGACAAGAGTAGCAGCAGGTGGCAGGCCATAAAATGAAGTCATTGTTGGGAAAAGGTCGCAATGACCTCTCATGCTATGTTCAGGCATGCAACGTCTGGTGCCCGAGGAGTGCTCTGGCCTCCCTTGGAAAATGACTTGCTAGTCCCCCAGCTCTCAGAACCTAGAATGGCCACACACACACACACACACACACACACACGGGTCTGGAGGCTGGGTCAGGCAGTTCCACAAATGAACAGTCCACTCCTCCTCCGCAAAAGACTCAAAGAAATTCATGACTCCCGCATTCCTTTCCACTCACAAAACATGCTTTGTGAACCGCCAGAGAAAGACAGCGCGTTACGAGGGCAAACGTGGCCACACCCTCTCCAGCAAACCGCAGCCACACACCATGGCCTCCTGCCTGACCCGCGGCCAGCTGGCTTCCCCGATGAGCTCAGAGGACAGGGCACCAGGAAAGACGGATGCGTGTAATCCTGGTGTACAAACTCACTTAGTACAAAATTATAGCATTCGCTCCTTAAGTTTATGTTGCTTAGAAATAACAGCTCATTAAATCTGCACCTTATAAAACAGGGTATTAAATCGCAGCCACCACACCTGTCCATGGGAGGAGGGGACGCAAGCCGCCAAGCCAGGCACAATTGGCTGTTCTGTTAAGCTCTGCAAAGCCTTTGTTAATTTTGTGGCAGAAAAGCTCCAAAAAGTTTAGGTAAATTTATGGTAGCTAAATTTAAAGAAATTCTTATCTCTTAATTTAATTTCACGCTTTAGCTTCTAGTCCCTAAACTGTGAAAAAGCAGCCACTATCTGCCTCGTGGAAGATTCCTTTTACCTCTGGGTAAACCTGCAGGCACACAAGCACCTCCAACCACCTCTTCTCCGTCCCCCTCCCCTGTCCCAGCTGCCCCCCGATCCCGATGGCCATACACACACAGGACATACCCCAGTCATAAGCACAGCCCTGCCACCTTGCCAGCCGCAGCCTCTCCTGACGGCCCCCGCCCCAGCCCTCCTGCCGTCCTCTCTGGGCAGAGATTTTTTCTTCTGAGAAAACCTCACAGCAAGCCCCACGTCTGTTTCAGAGAAAGAGGAACCTTTCTGGGTAAAAAGAGGGGCCCCACCCTCCCTCCTGCCACCCCAGCACCCCTCAGCACTGCTGAGAAGAAAGTCAGAAATCCTTCAATCCTCGGATGCTGGGGAAATGCTCTAACCAACCTCTCTCTGCCTCAGTTTCTCCTCTGGAACTGGGGAAGACAGCAGTGCCCACGGGGTTGCTGGAAAATTAAGAGTCTGTGCACAGCAAGCACTTGAAACTGTGTCTGCTGTCCAAGGGTGCTTTATATAACAATTGTTATAACATCCTCATCTGTGACCTCTCGCTTTGCGCACAAGGTAACTGAGGCACAGAGAAGGAAGTCTTGCCCATGCCACAAGGTTCAGCAGCAGTAGAGCAAGTCTGGGACCTACGCCCCTGGGACTGCCCACCATCCCTCAGAAAGCTTCCACCTGATGCAAGACACCAAGCAGGCTGGCAGAGGACGGCCTCATGGCCACTTCAGCACCTCGAACCGGCCATCTGCAGCCTGGACCCTCCAACTGGCGGCCTGAACACTCCGGGTCAGGGGTCACCTCCCCAAGGCATGGACCCACCTGGC